TCCGAAACTTGCGGTCAAAACTCATTAAGATTCTTAAAACTAAGTAAAGAAGGACAAGATAGATAGGGGAGACTAGAAGACAAATCGTTCCTGATTATGAACATTTACAGAAGTGATACGATTGCGTCACTGACTACAATTCATGTCATTCTTGAAGAGATGTTCGTTTACCGTCAGATAATGCTGAACCTAGCTTTCCCTGGGGGCCGTTTTTGTGAGAACCTAGCCAACGAGCTAGGCTGGACGATGATTATTTCGGACACAGGTTATTACTGGACTACACATGTTTATTTTCTTTTGAAAACCGTCTCTTGTAACCATGACTACGCGAAGGAGCTTATTTCCAGAATCGGAAGATACGCGGTGGGACCTGGTCTATGCTCGATGTTTTATAATCACCCTGCCCTCTAATGAGTAGAATGATTCTACTGAAGTCGTAAATGTAACCACTTGCCCCCACCTTGTTATTACCAATGGATGACGGCGAATCAGAATGACCTAATTTCAAAAACTCTGCAGTTGGTGGGCAAAATCGGGCCAAACTGCAATAAGACGTACACGGTCTCGGTGGTAAGCTACCTGAAATTGATAGTCGATTTCCTAATAAGTTGTCGTGGTTGGCTGGCATCTACTTAGGTTAGTTATTATCACGCTCTCAGAGCAAGGTTGAACCCAGTTCATTAAAAGAAATATTGAAAGGGACAGTATAGTCGAGCTGTGTATTTAGATAAACAACTGCTCCAAGCAACTCAAAAGACATGCTTCCTACAGTTGGCTTATCTATACCAACCTACTTGCACTGGCCCGCTTTTCCGACCTTAATCTATCCACTTTGCTTATTTCTTCTTACCCTTGCCTTTGCCTCTCTTCCTTTTAAGTTTGATGCCCCTTATTTCAATCATGGTCCTCCACCAGCACTGGACTTGAAGGACACATATCATCATTTTGTGCTGATATTCTTCCTGTAGTCTCTTTTTCTCCTGCTCAAGTCGGTATTCTGTAACGACCGCCTCACAGTGAGCAAATTCCTTCTTCAAGGCAGTGTGTTCCTCTATCTCTCTGGCTAAGTCCTCTTCCATTTTTTCCTGTTTCTTTGCCAACTCCTCAACGTCGTTGCGGCCCTGCAGGTATCTGAGTCGATTGGCTTCAGTGTCCAGCTCTGAGAAAAGCCAGGTCATGCACTCGGCAAACTCCCGCTTCTCTTGGCCAATCTTCTTCCTCAACAGGGCGGTCTCCTCAATTAATTGTCGGGCATTGGCGTTGCAGGCTGCGGCGTGAACGTTTGCTCGCTGTTTGTAAGTCGCCTTCAGGTACTTGATGGTCATTTCAGCCAGCTGACGGCCCTCCTGCCATTCGTTCCGCATTCTTCTTAGCGCGCTGAAGTAGAGCTCCTTTTGTTTTGTAAATTCAATCGCGGCAACGCTAATCCGCCGCCTTAGGTCCTCAATGAGGTCTTCTTTCTCGATTGAGCTCTCGGCCAGATCGATTAGAATGTCGACTGAGGCTTGTTTTATGTCACACTGGGTTTCCAGGGAATTGCATGTGCCTCTGTCTTCAATCTCGTTAATTAGTAGCTTCAGAATCTCAGTCACCTTGGCCACCTCCTCAAGAAAGGTGCGAAGCATGCTTTCATCATCGCTCAGTTTGCGGAAGTTCCCATCCTCCAGTTCGATGTAATCTTCGCGGCGACACTTTTCAAACCGAATGAGGGTCTCAAAAAAAACTTTATTCAGCTCCTGAAGCAGGGTATCGGGGTTAGAAGCATCGGTCTTCTCTGTATTGCTGAGTGACTTCTCAGGTAGAGTTGCACCACAGGAGGCGGCCTTGTGGAGGGCTGAAAAGTCGGTTATAGTATCTGTCAGCACGGCCTTGAGAGCAACGCGAAGAAATGGGGAGAATGTCTTCGCGTCACCCATTGCGCGGGTGCCGCGTGAAATGCTAGCTTATCGATCCAATTAAGCCTTCAAATCTTTGGCTTTTGTCGCTTCTCTATGACGTCTGCTATTACGAGTTTTTAACTCCCATGCTTA